GAGGTCCTGACAAGCCCTCAATATCACCCTCCTCTCACCCCCCATGGCCAGTGTGCCTGACAGGGACGTCAGCATCCAGAGATCATCCCATGTCCTCTGCTTTTAGGTCTACGTACAAGACATCCTACAGAAGCAGCTAGCCAACGAGGTACTCAGCGTGCTCCATGGGGAGCAGGGCCACCTCTATGTTTGTGGAGATGTGCGCATGGCTCGGGATGTGGCTACCACCTTGAAGAAGCTGGTGGCCACCAAGCTGAACTTGAGCGAGGAGCAGGTTGAGGACTATTTCTTCCAGCTCAAGGTACAGAAACTGGGGTGAGACCCCAGAGAAGGGTGTAGGCGAAGATCACATGTCATTGGATCATTGGAATCAGGGCCAGAACAGCAGAACTGGGGGTGTCCTGAGACCCTCTATATTATTGCAGAAACCTGGGGAGCACTGACTGGCTGAGCTCCTGGAGGCGGGACTTCCCGTTTGGGCCCCTGGAGGCAGGACTTCCTGTTTCACACTAGTGGCCTGGTAGCTGAGAAGTCCAGGTGGTGTGCTCCTTTTCTCTATCCCTGGGATCAGAGTAGCAGGCTCTGCTCCCCCCCCCCCACCCCTGCAGAAAGTACCCATAGGGCAAAGCAGAGCTGTGGACACCAGGTCTGGGAGACCTGTCCCCTACTGGCTATGGGAAACATACACTTATTTACAGCAGGCTGCTGGCTAGATGCCCTCATGCTTCAGGACTCTTGGTAGCAGGGCTTGCCTAGATCCAGGTACTCACCAAGCACTATCCTGTGACATTTCCTTCTGCCCTTCTAAGGGCGTTATGAAGGGAGAATGGCAGTTACCCCATTTTGTTGAGGAGTGAGTGTGAGCGCCCAGGTTCATGGCCTCTCTCCCCCTTTCCTTCTCTCTGTTCCCAAACCTGTCCTTAAGGCTTACACTAGCACCTTGTATGTGTTAGAGATTAAAAAGCAGTTAACAAAACAAGTAAAAATAATTGACCTGGGTCATGATGGTGTGTACCTGCAATCCCAGCACTAGGGTGACAGGCAGGAGGATCAGGTGTTCAAGATCATCTCTTGGTTACACAGTCAGTTCAGGGCCAGCCTGGGCTACATGAGAGCCTGTCTCAAAAACAAACAAACAAAAAGCTTACATTCTGGCAGGGTTGATGAAAACAAACGCTTAGACTGTACACGGCTTCCAGTGAGAATTAAGCAAAAGAGTGGCTCAGGGGTTTGTATCATTTTAATGAAGATGTTTGCAGAAGGGGGTTACTGGGAGGTAAAAATACCTGGAGAAGGTAAGGTAGAAGCCTTGTGCATACATGAGACAGGGGTCTAGACAAAGGTCCTGGGGTACAGATTATTCTGTCACGTGATGACCAGCAAGGACATCATGGATGCTTCCCAAAATGTGTTCAGTGTGTATCACCTGTGTTCCTGGATTGTTGACATCAAAAGGGTTATAAGCAGGTGGGGCAGAGGCACTGCATACCTGTAAACCCCAAGGCTTTGGGGAAGCCGAGGCAGGAGAGTGATTAGTGCAAGTCAGTATGGGGTATCTAGGGCTGCAGAGATGGCTCTACAGTTAAAACTATATACTGTTCTTGCTGAGGACAACCTGCATGTAACTTCAGTTCCAGGGGGTCTGATACCCTCTTCTGGCACTCTTGTACACACACACACACACACATACACACATACACGCACACACACATACACACATACACGCACACACACATACACACACACTCGAAAATAGAATTGTAGCCAAACATGGTGGCACATGGACACTTTTAATTCTGCACTCAGGAGTCAGAAGCAGGAAATTATATATGTGTGTGTGTACATATATATTATTAATATACATGTATGTGTGTACATATATATTAATTTAAAAAGGGAAAACAAGAGCTGGAGGTGTAGCTCAGTCCTTGCCTAGCATATGAGAGGCCCCTTCTGCCCTTCCTTGATCTTTAGCCCCAAGGAAAAACAGACCCTAAGGTCAGATCATTTGGAACACATGTCCAGGTCCACAAAAAGCAAAGGTGGCTTTACTGTAAGATTTCTCAAAAAAAAAAAAAAAAAAAAAAAGACAAAAAGAGATTTCTCAGAGCCGTCAGCTGCTGCTCTGTGCTCTGACTTCAAGACCTTAGTAGGAAAGGGAGGCATGCACAGCTGCCCCACACATGCTGATCTCAAAGCATAGTGTGGGTGAACACTAGGCAGGTAGTGGGACTGCCATCCATGTATGAAGCTTGGGAAGAGGCTGAGGTGGGCCACACGCAGTGCCGAGGAGAAGCTAAACCTAGGTGTGATGGCAGTGAGCCAGGCAAGCAGGAAGGCACGGGGCTATGGTGAGTGCCTGCGTCACCAGGAAGCTAGCTGTTGCAGCCCTGGGGTTTTATGCAGCCTAGACATGGGAACTAAGGGGTGGCTGCTCCTGCAGAGTTGACCCCTTGGCCTCTGTTTCCCTTCATAGAACCAGAAACGTTATCATGAAGATATCTTTGGCGCAGTTTTCTCTTATGGGCCGAGAAAGGGCAGCGCATTGGAGCAGTCCACAAGCACAAGGCTCTAGGAGTCACAGCTTCTGGCACAGACTTGAGCGATGGACTCAACTTCCCAGCTGGTCAGAGGCCTGAACGAGACAGAACTTCGATTTTACCCAAACCCCTCATGTCACAATCCCTCCTCCCCAATGCACCCTACCAGGTAGCATTGTGGGCTACTTGAATCTCTCCTTCCCTCTCTCTTCCTCCCTCTTCTCATCCTTCCTTCCCCTCTCCTGCTTCCCTGGACCCTTCGAGCAGAAAAAAAAAAAAAAAAAAAAAAAAAAAAAATGAACCTCCTGATTGAAGCACTCTGTATGGCCACCAGGAGGCCCCATGCCACCGCTCTAATATTTAGTGGCATCATGTACAGTTATTTATACTTTGTATTTAAGAAACCAAATACCTTTGTCTATAACCAAGGATGTCTTGGGCCTTCCCTGTATCATTTCTCGATGAAAATATTGATTATGAAATGCATTTTATTTTTAATCACCATGTGTGATTGAGTTTTGTAGTGAAAGCATTCTCAAATAATGTATGGGTTAGGGTTGGTGGGTACCACAGCCTGGATAATGATGCTCACATGAGGGAGTATGCTAACCATGTCCCCAGGGGACAGCAGATGAAGCTTGTGTTTGGTCATGGCTAGGCATCCCAGACAGGGTCTGGAGCTATAGATTCACACACAAGGCACCATCTGCAGGTTGTGGTGAGCCCTGGGGTTTTTCATAATGGCAGGGGTTTCCTGAAGACTTTGGCCCTCGCCCTATCTTTAAAAATGATGTGCTTGGGGACTGTGAATGTAGCTCATTTGGCACAATGCTTACACAACATACACAAAGCTGTGGGTTTGGTCCCCAGCACTGTATAACCTTTGGACATGGTGGCACACACTTGCAATTCTAGCACTGAGTAGGTGGAGACATGAAGATTTGAAGTTTAAGGTCATCCTCAGCTACATAGTGAAACTGAGAGCATCTAAAAAGAAAGAGTTGGTTGCACTCCATGACCTGTTTTCTTTAGCCAGCCATGATGTGGCACCTGGAACAAAACAGGTGATGTGAAGAGCACCGCCATCCCGCACCTGCCTGCCAGGCCACGAGCTCCTGTTTGCAGCACCCAGCAGAGCTCCTTACCAGACTGCAGCATTGCCATCCCCTGCCCTGCACTAGCATGGAGCGTTCCTCCCACAGCTGCATCAGATGGAGCAGAAGAGGCAGGAGAAAGGAGCCCACCAGTCTCTCATTGCCCTGGAAGCCCCCACCCCCTGTTCCAGGCAGTAATGCTTGTGAACAGTGTGGTCCAGAGTTCATTCATTTTGGCCAGGGTTTCCCAGGTGTTTAGGTATCCTGCATCACCTGGGAATCTAGTTAAAATGTAGACTGGGGACTGGGGAGATGGCTCTGTTGGTAAAGTATTTGTCATATGTTTGGATCCCTAGCACCCACATAAACTAAGCTGGATGTGGTCCTGTTATCCCAACCCTGGGAAGGTAGAGACAGGCAGACCCCTGGAGCTCACTGACCACAGGGCCTAGTTAATTAGTGAGCTTTACCTTCAGTGGCAGACCTGGCCTCAAAAGATAAGGTGGACAGAGATTAAGGAAGACACTCAGGCCAGGTGTGGAGGCACACACCTTTAATCTCAGGACTCAAGGGGCAGAGGCAGGTGGATCTCTATGAGTCTGAGACCAGCCTGGTCTACAGAGTGAGTTCCAGGACAGCCAGGACTACATAGAGAAACCATGTCTCAGTGGGGGGAAAAAAATTAAAAAGAAAATCAGAATTGGCCTCTGGCCTCCATACATATGTACACACATTCTCACCCTCTTGTATGCACATAGCAACATGTACACATCACACACACACACACACACACACACACACACACACACACACACACACTGGCTCAATAGATCTAGGAAGGACCCAGTGATTTTTTTTTCTTCTCTTTCCTTGGTCTTTATGTGAGACAAGATCACACTATGTATCTTGCCTCAGCCTCCCAGATGAACTGCTGCATTTCTGACCAGCTCCCAGGTGTTGCTGGCCTAAGATCTTAAAAGTGAGGGTCTCAATGAGTTAGCAGGGTGCAGGGATCCCTTGTGTGGCAGGTCCCCATCCCAACCCCCACTGCTGGGAAGTCCACTGCAGATCAACTCCCCTGACCCCATTGCCTCTCCTCCCACCCAGCACAAGCTGCCCAGGCTTTCACAGCCTCTGCCCAGCCTCTCCCCACCTCAGTGGCCTGAGGCTGTTTACACAGAGGCCAGCATTCCACTCAAAGACCCTGGGCCCCAGCCCCCACCCACTTACTCTAACACCTTGTGGGGTTCTGGAGGAGGGACACCTGTGAGCAGGTGTGAGCACCAACCTGCCTCCTCCCATTCATTCCCTTTCGTAGGTTCCAGAATGCCTTCAGACCCATTCAATAACCGAGCTACCTCACATGTGTGTGCAAACTAGTATTATTTATTTTATGGACACTGGGAAAGAGTAGGGAAGAACTGATGGGGACAGTCTGGTCAGTTGCAGGCCAGTGGGATGACATCAGGGTAGCCTTCCTGCAGCAGGGTGAAGGGATGCAGGGAAAGGGCCAGAAAGGCCACTTCTCAAAGTGTATGACTATGAGAACAATGGAACTGTGGCCTGAAAGCCATCTGTCACAGCCCAGGACACCCACTTTGTAGAGGGGGGTGAACTGGGAGTTTCCCCTTCCAGAGCCCCAACCCTGAGGCACTCATGATAGTGGGATTTGGGGGCCAGGGCTGAGGCTGAGAAGAGATGACAAGACACAGGGTGCCCCAGCCCTCCTTTCCAGGCCAGGGACCTTGCCTATGCCTGCACGTGGGTCAGCTGGACATCACCTGCCACTTCTAGATTGTTGATAGCTGGCAAGTGATTCAGACGGTGGACATATTCACACAGGTGTTGCCCGTCCACGGCAACTTTGAAGCACTGAACTTCACATAGGATCCACACCTGAGGAGAGACACCACGACATTTGCAGGGCACTTGGGGACCCAGGCTTGTGTCTCCCTCCCCTATCTCTCCTTCCTCAGGAGCAAGCCTAAAACCTGGCCTCTAGCCAACCTGAATGGTTTGCCCTTCGCCAAACATGAGTGTTGTCTTTGCCTAGTACATTAACGTAGGCCGTTCCCAAGCCTAGAATGTGTTCCCCACCCTGAACACCTTCCACAAAGGGATAAATGCTGGTCCATCCCTTACAATGACCTCCCGTGTCCCTCCCACCTCTGACCCCCCCCCCCACTCATTTCTGCCAACTGTCTACTGACACCATATCCCTCATCCCCCTTGCTCACTCTCCAGCTTAACTCTAAGCCTCTAGCAACAGGAATTCAGGCTCCAGCTATCTGTGTCTCCAGTGCTCCATGCCTGGTCTCCTCTAAGTCATTTCCTTTTTTTTGAAATATCACCACAATTTATTTATTTACTATGTATAGTGCTCTGCCTGCACACCAGGAGAGGGCACCAGATCTCATTAACCATGTGGTTGCTGGGAATTGAACTCAGGACCTCTGGAAGGGCAGCCAGTGCTGCTGAGCCATCTCTCCAGCCCCTAAGTCATTTTCAATGAGACAATTTACACAAATGTTACAGTGTCATCATCCGTGGCCGCTGCTAGCACTCATGTCACACTGTTTGTGGGCTGCAGACTCCGCCTCTTCCCTCCCTTCTGCTCTGTGAGATTCAGTCTTGTTAGGTCTTTGTTCTCACTGAATTAAAACCCAAGCTCAGGAGGCTGGAGACATGGCTCAGCAGTTAAAGAGTACTGGCTGCTCTCCCTGAAGCCCTGGGTTCACTTCCCACCTCCCACATGGAAGCTAACAACTGTCTGTAAATTCCAGTTCCAAGGATCTGATGCCTTCTTCTGACTTCTGAGGGCCTCAGGCATGCACATGGTACACATATATCCATGCTGGAAAACACTCGTACACATTTAAAAACAAAACAAACAAACAAAACCACAATCAGCAGGGCATGGCAGCCCACACCTATAAACTAGCAGTGGGAAAGAGCCAGGCTTGCTGCATGTCTGTAATTAATTCCATTACTTGAGAAGCAGGAGGATCAGGAGTTCAAGGTCAGCCTTGAGTGCATAGCCAGCCTGGGCTACATGTCTCAACAACAGTAACAGAATACAAGCTCCTTTCATGACCCATACAGCCCTATACTCTCAACCTGTGGGTGGCAGAGAATGCTGCCATGACATTTTCAAATGGTAGCTGCACATTGCTCTGGAGTGGGGCCCAGGCATTGGTTTTTCTTATTTAAGTTCACAGGGTGATTTGATATCATAATCAGGGTAGATAAGGCCTGATCAGGGTATCAGGCTTCTAACTGCAGCGCTAGTACATACAGCTCTCAGCTTGTTTCCTCCTAAGTGACACATAAGCAAATGAGTAAATGACAATTCACTCTTGGGTTTGATTGGTGCAAACTGGCTGGTGTGACCTCATGCAAGTGCCCCATCCTTGTGAGTTTATTTGCCCCCTGTAGAAAGCAGGAACAACGAAGCCCTGTAGTGCGGGGCTGTACTCTGATCTATTCAGGAAGCTGAGGCAGCATTGAAAGTTCAAGGCCTGGATGGGTTCAAGACTAACCTTATCAAGACACTGCCTTAAAATAGAAGAAAGAAAAGAAGGAAGGAAGAGAGGGAGAGAGGGAGGGAAGGAGGGAGGGAGGGAAAGAGAAAGAGAGGGAGGGAGGGACGGAGGGAGGAAGGGCAGGCAAAAGAAAGAAAAGAAAAAAATAAAAGGATGGCTGGGAAATGGACGTGTGGTTCAGGCCTGTAATCTCAGCTCTTGGCTGGCTGAGGTAGATGGATCACCCGAGCTCTAGACCAGCCACCCTACAAAGTGGGTTGTAGGTAAGCCTGAGCTAAAGTGAGTCCCTTCCAAAAACACAACACAACAAAACAAAACAAAACAAAACAAAACGGAGGGCTGGAGATGTAGCTCAGTGGTACTGTACTTGCATGAGACTGTAGATCAGTCCCCAGAACAAGGGGAAGGGGGCATAGCAGACACAAACCCATACTTTGGCAGGATGGTAGCCATGAAATAATACCAATTTGTACAACATTCTCCCTCCTTTGGGGTGCAGCCGTCATATCCCAGGTATCTGCTCCTATCCCATCACAGACCCTTGCACCCTCCTCTTGCATCCCAGCATCTTACTGAAAAGCTCTGGCCACGATTGAAGGGCATTCTCCCAGGCAGACTTCGTTCCTCAGGCCCCCAGGAGTTGTTGACCTGGGTGTTTCGGACCACAGCTTTCTCATTGAAACGGGGATTCAGGTGAAAAGCGATGTCCATCCCAGAGCGAAGGTTGATGTGGAACCTGGGATGGGCAGTTCACATAGACCCTTTCTGACCACTGAGCTCTGGGCCCAGCTCCTACCCATCAACCACCCCCAAGTAGCTGAGAGCCAAAGGCTGTCCAGAACAACACTGAGAGCCTCCGTTGTCCCAAGAGCCCTGGGGGCCTGTCTTACCTCTTAGCATCAGGCAGGACCATGCCTGCTATGATGATGGACTTGGACGGGTAAAGCCCATTTGGGATGGAGGTGAAGAAAGGTACAGGCTGTTGGGAGGATGAAAACAGCTCATCAGCAGCTGGGCTGCTGCAGCAGGGACCAGCCCAAGGGCTACAGACTCTGAAGTCATGCCCAAGAGTCTTGTATCTTCTGGAAGGAACCCAGGGTGCTATACTTGGTTCATTAAATAGCAAAAGAAAACATCCAGTGTCTCCCAAAATACATTTCAACGATCATGGGAGGGACCTTGGCAGGGCACAAAAGGCTTGTTGGGGTACTGTGGTTTGAATGAGAATGCCCTCCCTGAGATGCTCATATATTTGAACAGTTGCTCCCTAGCTGGTGGAACTGTTTGGGAATGACTGGGAGGTGTGGTCTTGGAGAAAATGTCACTGGGGATAATCTTTGAGGTTTCGAGTGGCCTGCACCATTCCCAGTCTCTCTCTCTCCCCGTCCCCACTCCCTCCTACAAAATATGAGCTCTCAGCTACTGCTCCAGTAATATGCCTGCCTGTCTGCTGCTATGTTCCCTGCCGAGATAGTCATGAACTCTTAAGCCCCAAATTAAACTCTTTCTTCTATAAGCTGCCATGGTCACCGTGTTTGTCACATCAATAGAAAAGAAACTAAGGCAGATGTACAGTTTGCTCATGCTGAAGGGATCATTCTAAAGTTGAAAGCCTTCAGTAGCCTACTAATTTACATGGGTATTTTTAACTGTTCACCTGGATGCAGGAACCTTTATTGATCATGCAAGCCAGAGGATTATCTCACCCTGCCTAACACAAGCCACAGCTCAGGCTCTCTGTAGGAAACCACTTACATAGGCTGAAGTGGGGTATGCCACAGGCTGGATTCCAGGAGTCTGTGGGAGAGATAGGATTCCATATAGAATCACAATGCATACAAGTGACACATACTTCAGGGGACCCTCAATATCCAGCCCTGGAGACCTGCCATTCCCCTCCTCTCGCACCAACATTTCTGAAACTTCCTGCTATTTTCCTGGAGCCCATTATGACCCCCTGCCCTTCAGCCACTCCCCCATGCAGTCCCACCAACTTGGGGTCCCCCACCTGCACTGGGCTGGGGGAAGGAGAGTCAGACTGGCCACCCACAGTGCCTTAGCATGAGCTTGGCCTTAGTAAGCAAGCTAGAGGCTGGGACCACCACACTCCAGCCTGGGCAGCCAGAGGCCCAGTGTGTCTGCTAGTCCTGCTCCTCTGAATCTAGGCTGTCCTTGGGAGAGTTTGAGCTGTGTCATCTTCTTAGCAAGCCCATCCCCAGCTTTCTCCATCTTCTTTCCTATGCACTTCGGTTCCAACTATGGGACTCTAGGGAATTCTGGTTTTGATTAAAGGAAGCGGTGGGGCTGTGAGATAACTAAAACATTTTAGACTTACAGGAAACATCTGTCCAGGGGCAGTGTGAACTGTGTGGATGACAGTGTGAGCCTGGGAAAAAGAAATGAGTCTTAATCAGCTCTCATCATTGCGAAGACTACTACTTGCCCCCCAGAGGGTGCTACTTGATATCCACTCTTAAGCCTGAACCTTGACATGTAATCAGGGAGGTCATTTGCCACAGTTCCCCTTCCTAAGACACCAACATACACTAGGGATGGGGAAAGGCATTTCTCTCCTGGAGGGGAAGATGGATTGACTAGAGTTCCACGCCACTAGCCTTGGTTTGCGGGAGGGAGGGGTGAATGTGTGGCAAACAAACCCATTCAGATTTTCTGCCCTACTTCTGCCTCCCTGGTGCTGGAATTAAAGCGGGCGCTGGGCGAGCACTCCACCAACAGAATTCCTCCCCCAGCCCTGTTTTCTTTTTGATCAGAGCCAGCCAAGCGCACCTACAACCCTTTCCCACCAGCATCGCTACAGCCTGGTGGGTGGAAAGTGGGTATAGCCTTATCTGCCTTCATGGGGGAGGCTGGACCTTTTAACCCACACCAGGAGCCCTCATATAAAAGGATCAAGGGACTTACCATGGGTGCCTGGTGCACAGGCCGAATGCCCTGAAGCTGCAATGGATGGAGGGGTGGAAAAGAGAGATGTTATCTCTGGGGCCATGTGGGGTGAGAGGTGACTTCAGACTCCAGGTGTGGTTCTTGTGGTCAGCTGCACCTTCGTAGTCATGCTCACCTCCTTCCTGAGCGTGCTGCACCCAAGTTCTCACCCTCATGTGCACAGAGTGTCAGGGTTAAGGGAGGGAGGCTGCTCCGGGCTTCCTGAGAAAGGAACTCGGTCTGCCCGACCATGTCTCTTCTCTGAGGCCCCAGAGGCAGGAGCACCACCCCCAGCTCCCCTTTCACCTGCCAGGTGAAAGCATTCGGCGCTTTCCACGGAGGCCGGCATCCTTCACTCCCATCCCTCTGGTGAGGCCCAAGGCTCATGGGGTTACGTTAAGTAACTTGTCCAGGCTAGCACAGGTGGTGAGTGAGTGAGTGAGTGAGTGAGTGAGTGAGTGAGTGAGTGAGTGAGAGAGTGAGTGAGTGAGCGTCAACCCTGGGGCTGGCCGGCAAAGGCTTCCAGGTGCTCTGCCAGGCCTAAGGTTAGTGTGACTACGGTGCCTGGACCATCAGGAACCATAGGAAGGCTAGTGCCTATGGCATCCTTTCCCCTAACCCCAACTGCCTGAGTGACCACAGAGAGAGCTAGCTGCTGGCCTTTCCTTCCTGCCCCTGACCCACCCCACCCCAGCAGACCCCTTCTTCCTTCATTTGCTTACTGTTCTCCCTGGCTGTGCATAATAACAATAATGATGATAATAATAATGATAAAATCATGCACACAGTCTCTATCGTATGCCAGTGCTTTGTGAGGGCCTAGAAATACACAAATGAACAAACAGGCCATGCTGCTAGTCCTCCAGGGGTTCCTGGGCATGGGGAAGGTGGGTGGCATGACTAAGACACATTCCAACAGTGTTGTGACCTTCCAAGCACAGACACGTACAAAGTGCACAGTGACATGGGGTGGGTTAGAGAAAACTCTTGAGTGGCATTCAAACAAAGAATTATAGTATAACTGTTAGTTTGCCATGGGCAGGCAGACAGAAGACACAGCCTATACGAAAGAGAGGTGGCCGGAGTGAGTAGTGGCGGGTGGCATGAACTGAGCAGAGGTGGTGAGCTGGGGACAGATGAGGGAGTGTTCTGTTACGTCTTGTGAGGGAATTTGAGCTTGTGCTTATTTGTTATTTAGGGTTTTGTTTTATTGTTGTTCTATTTTGTTTTGTTTTTTGGGGGGACGGGGTCTCACATAGTCTAGGCTGAGGGTGATCTTGAACTTTTTCTGTTCCTTCCAGACTCTGCCTCCAAAGACTTTGAACTATAGGTATCCATCAAGCTTTGGTCCCTGTTTAGAAAGACTTTAGGACCCAAGCCTAAAGATTTTTACAATGGGAGAGTGTCAGATGGAACGTGCTGGGTGAGGTCACTGTGCAGTAGTGGCTTTGGGGAGGGAGAGATGAGGGTGTGGGGGGGACAGCAAAGGTAAATGCAGCCTGTGTTGATGGGGGTCGGGGGCTGAAGGCCCTGGGTAGCTTGTTCGTTGGACCTGCCTCTAGATTCTCTTTTTGCTACTGATGGACCTCCAGGGCCAGAGCACTTCACTCACTTTTGGTTTGCGCCCCCTGGGGTTCCGTGGGAACTGGACAGGCTGAGAGAATTGCACTGTGGAGAAGACAGGCTGGACAGGGGCTGCTGAGGAGTTCTGTTAAAAACAAAGACATGTCTGGGTGACAGGAAGCAAGAGGCAAGGCCAAAGCAGGGGCAGGCAAAGATCGGGGGCTGGCTCCTGACACAGCAGAATGAGGCCAAGGAAAGTTTAGTTGGCGTGAACAAGATCAGGGTGCCCCTTTACTCTCTCCCTCTTGCTTTTGCTCCTGCAGGGAAAGAGTCAGGAAACAGGGTAGGGGGTGAGCATAATGCCAGAGGGAAAGAGGCCCAGCATACCCTGCTTCCAGTTTTTCATAAGAGTATGTCTATATATTTGTTTGTTTACTGTGTTTGGTATTTTTGTGACAGGGTCTCATGTAGCTCAGGCTAGCTCTAAACTTACTATGTAGAAGAGGATGAAGATGACATTGAACTCCTAACCTCTCTGCTGTTGGAATTAATAGGCCTGAGACAGTACGTCCAGCTACACTTTCAGATCTTGGCAACACATTAAGTATTTCAAAACAAGTTGAATGGTGAGCACACCTTTAATCCCAGCACTTGGGAGGCAGAAGCAGGTGGATCTCTGTGAGTTTGAGGCCAGCCTGGTCTACAGAGCAAGCTCCAGAACAGCTAAACTACATAGAGAAACCCTGTCTCATGTTTTTAAAAAACACAACTGAATATGGTCCCATGTTCCTGTAATCCGAAGCACTGAAGAGGCTGAGGCAGGGGGATCACAAGGTAGAGCCACTCTGGGTTACACAGAATTCAAGGCCAGCCCAAGCTGTATAGTAAGAATCTGTCTTTAAAAGGGGGGAAAAATGGATTTTCGGAACTGGGCCCGGTGTTACACACCTATAATGACAGCACTGTGGGGTCTGAGGCAGAAGGATCGACTCAAGTTCAAGGCCAGCCAAGGCTAGATAGTGAGGTGCTGTCTTCAAATAAATGAATAAAATAATTTGTTTTCAGAGCTGGGCCTGATAATATGTATATGTAATCCCAGCACTCAAGAGGCTGAGGCAGAAGGGTCACAAGTTAGAGGCCAACCTGGGCTACAAACGTTGATCCTGACACAAACTGCAACAAAAAATTCACACACAAAAAGTGCTTTGGGTATTTGTTTTGGCTTGGTTTTCTCCTTCCTTCCTTCCTTCCTTCCTTCCTTCCTTCCTTCCTTCCTTCCTTCCTTCCTCCCCTCCCTCCCTTCCTTTCTTTCTGTTTTTAACACAGAGGTCAAACCCGATCTGGGTTCTCAGTGCCATGCTCTGCCCTCTGATTTGGGTTCCATTTGGTTTCCCAAACACAATCCCTCATTGAACTCCCTGATCATCTAACAATAGACAGTTGGAGGAAAGGAATAGCTTTGTCATCTTGGAGACCAAGGCAGATTGTTCATTGCAGAGAAAGCAACCCCAAGAGGGACAGAGAGACAGACAAAAGGCAGACAGACACCAAACCAGAGAACCAGTGCAGCCCCAAAGCCACCTGGGGAAGGTACTTGCTGGTACCCTGTTGACTGGGGGAAAGCCCAGCTGGTCACCATCCTTTAAACCCGGGACAGGCGCCAGCCACTCCTGACCTGGAAGGTGATGAAGGACAGCTGCAAGGAGCCGGAGACAGCGATGGTGTCCACAAGGTGGTAGGGCACACGGTGTGAGTACTGCACAAAGACATTCTTGTTCACCATCACCTGCAGAAGAGAGCTGCTGTGGGGCCAGGCCACACCTGAGCTATATGTTCAGAGATGAAGATCTGAACCTGCTTCTCATGCCCAGTCCTTCCAGGCAGGTACATCATCTTCAGTGGGGTGCCAAGGACAGAACATTTGAGTCTCTGCACTCAGAACCATTGTCCACTACTCTCCTGTTTCTGGCTGGCCTTCAGTTCTGACCACCATTCACCTAGTGCTCCGGGCTTATCATTCCTTCTTAGAAGTTATTTTTTGGAGCTATTGTATTTTATGTATATAGATGTTTTGCCTGCATGTATGTATGCCCACCATATGCATGCCCGTGGTGCCAGAAGAGGGTGTCTAATCCCCTAGAACTGGATTACAGATGGTTGTGAGCTGCCATGTGGGTGTGGGGAAGCGAACTCCGGACCTCTGCAAGGGCAGTAAGTTCTGTTACCCACTGAGCCATCTCTCCAGCCCCTGGGTTTATCGTTTCAAACTTCGTTCATATCATTCCATTTTTTTAAAATTGATACTGTGGCAGAGCACTTGCTTGGTATGCAGAAGGCTAGGTCTGATCCCCACCACAAAAAGTAGCTGTTACTAGCTAGGGACCTGCAGTAGAGGAATGCAGCTAACTTGGACTTTGGGACAAGTGAGGCTATCTGCACGTGAGGCCCCACTCCTCTTGTGGAGTTTTTGACTGACAGTTGGTACAGGAGGTGTGGGGAGGAGTCATATCTTTTTTAATGCTGTTGCCATATTCCAGCAAACAACCCTACACCCATGCATAGAACACAACTCTAATAAGACCCAGTGGGTTATTGAGGGGGAAAAGATATAAAAGCAGCAGGAGGGGGAGTGGGGAAGGCAAAGGTGAGGGAGGGAATGAAAGGGGAATTAGAGGGGAGGGTGGGGGAGGGGTGCTCAAAAGACAATCATAGTGTATGAAATTATCTAAGAATAGGTACAGAGATTTGGGGGTTTCTTTTTGTGTGTTTTGTTTTGTTTTGTTTGTTTTTTCTTTTTAGACATGAGGTCTTAGAAGCAACATGGTGACAGATTGGGGTCTTCTTTCTGAGGAACAAAAGCAAGGGCTGCATCTGTAGATGCAGGCTGGTGTGTGTACAGCAAAGAGCGAAGGCTGGCTAGGCTGGGGCCTGATCTCGATGCCTCAGGGGGCAGGTTTGGGGGTGGGGTTTCCCCACTTACCTTGAAGTTTGACCTCTGCACCAGGAAGCAAAGTTCAAAGGGCCTCCCCTTCTGGAAGGGCATCTGCATCTTCCTCTCCTCAGGCCCCCATTGTCCTTTCTGCTTCGTGTTACAGACCACATACCCTCCATCTTCAAACCGGGGGTTGAAGTGGAAGGCAATGTCGTTTTCACTGAAGCCAGTCTGAAAGTTCACAATAATCCTAAGGCAAAGAAATGATCCTGGCTTACTGCCACGCTTGGACAGAACCACCTCTGACTGTCTGTTAGCATGTTTAGGTTCATCTAATTTAGACCTAATGTATTCTGTGTAGTTGTTGCATTTTGCCCTTCCTGGGTTCTTTTCTTAAAATGTTAAGTAGACAATTAGTAAGGAAAAATGACGACATTAACAACAACCACACATCTTTTGCCCTAGCCTCTGGCCACAGACATAGAGAAACCACTCTGGAATTGAGCTGGATCTTGGTAGTTGCCACTTAGTGCTCAGAAGGTGCTATGCAGGCTTCTGGAGAATTGTCATCGATCATCTTAGCCAGCTGTGTACCTTGTGTGCAGCACCACTGTTATAGTTGGTTTCAGTGGTCGACTTTTGTGGGAAGGGAAACCTTGACCAGGGAATTGCCTCCAGGGGTTGACCTACGGGCATGTCTATGGGGTGTTTTTCTTGGTTATGTAGGAGTGCCCCACCCACTGTGGGTGGTGCATATCTGTGCAGGTGGGCTGGGGCTGCATAAAAAAAAAAAAAAAAAAAAACATTAGCTGAGGAAGCTAGGAGAAGCCAGTGAGCTGTATCCCTCTGGGGTCTCTGTATCAGTTCCTCCTTGGCTACTTTCAATGATACCAAATAAACCCTTTTCTCCCCAAGTTGCCTTTGGTTGGAGTGCTTTATCACAGCAACAAAGAGGCAAACTAATACAACTCCATCTGGCCAGGCGAGATGTATGTGATGGTAGGAATGGCCCGCATGACGGACTCGTGTTAGAATGCTTAGCCCTGAGATCCTCATGGCGTCAGGAAAGAACTAACTCCTGCAAATTTGTCCTTTGACATCCACATATATACCATGTCAAGAGTGAGTGCACACACACACACACACACACACACACACACACACACACACACACACGTAATTTTAAAAATTTTTCAAAAGTCATGTGAATTGTTCTCCAGGCATGAAAAGCCTTCACGCCCAAATCTGGTCTTCACGGAGTGCTGGTGTGTTTGGGAGGCAGGAGCTATGGAAGGCAACTGATCCCAGTGCCACAGTATCACTTGATATGACCTTTGACCCACACTAACGGGGTAAGTTCTCCTTTTTATCAGCAGTGGAAAACTCCCGTTTCTGCCTCACTCCCGGGAGGAAGCCTCTGCCATAGCCACTCTGGAGTACAGCTGGGGCTCCAAGAGGAGCAACTAAAATCACAGAAACTTCCAGAGAGGCTGGCTCACAAAAGGAGAGCCATCAGTGTCTGCCCTGCTTCACTGTGCCACAGCCCAGCTCAGATACAAGATCCAAGTTCCAGTCTGAGGTTCTTCTCACACTGCCTTCCCTGAACTCCCCAAGTGGTGGTGCCCGCTTAGCTGCTCACTGGTCTCTCACCCTCACACAGAGCTCTGTCACCTCTACCCCACGCAATAATCAACACTGTGCCACACTCAATGACCACTCCTGACAGACACTCCATCGAGTTCCTCTCAAATGATGAGTTTTCTGTTGGAAAATGTGTTCTGGAACATTCTAGGCAGCAGAGTGCTGATGAAGTCCTCAATGGCTGAAGCCTTAGACATCAGGACCTACAAGAAGCTACTGTGAAGCTAAACCAGGGACTATCCCACTTAGACATGTGTTTGGGAGGCTTGAGCAACACAGGGTCATGACATCGAAGGCATAGTCCTTTTTTCAGACATGTTTCACATAGCCCAGCTTGGCCTCGAACTTGCTGTGTAGCTGAGAGTGAACTTGAACTCCTCTTCCTCCTCCTGGGTCTGATATTAGATTATGTGCCACCACACCTTTGGGTTGTTTTGTTTGTTTTGCTTTTTTTTTTTTTTATTTTGAGACAGAGTTTTGATAAGTTGCCTAGGCTGTGCTTGAACTCACACAGTATCACAGAAAGGCCTTGAACTTGAGATGCTTCTGTCTCAGCCTTCCCAGGAGCTGAGTTTAAAGACCCACCGGGGGCTTGCTTTTTTAAAGATAGGATAGTATGTATTCCAGGCTAGCCTTAAACTCTTTATGCAGAACTTGTTTGTTTTGTTTTTAAGAAAGGGTCTCACTATGCAGTTCTGGTTGTCCTGGAACTCAGAGATCCACCTGCTCTGTGATTTTGAACTTCTGGTCTTCCTGTATTACCCTCTCCCATGCTTGGATTACATACATGGCCCATCATACTCCATTTATGCAGTCCTGGGAATCTAACGAGGGCTTTGTGTGTGCTAGAAAAACACTCCACTAACTGAGCTACATCTCCACCCCTGGGATCACTCTTCACAGAAACTTTAAAATAATCCCTAGAGCTCAAAAACCAATAGGACAGGAACTGGAGAGACAGGTTGGGGGGTTAAGAACACTTACTGCATTTTCAGAAGACACTAGCTCAGTTCTCTGCACCCCCATCAGGTGGCTTGTAACTGCTGGTAACTCCAGCTCCAAGGGGATCTCTCTCTCTCTCTCTCTCTCTCTCTCTCTCTCTCTCTCACACACACACACACACACACACACACACACACACACACACACATCTAAAAAGAAAACTATACAAAACTGCTGTGGGAACTAATAGAATTTCTCTTTTTGCATTGCCATGTCACCCATGTCACAAAGTCAAGAGAATATCCCGTGGCTGGCTGCTCTGACCAAGCTACTACCCGCCTCAGGCTGTGGGCTCCCGGGGAGCAGGGTGCTCAGGGCCCAGGAGTTCTCCGGAGTCTGTCATGGTGCCAGGATGGCCCTCCATAGCCTGCCCCTCCACGGTTGCTGAGACTAGAGATTAACATCAGTGTTGTGGTGGTTTGAATGGGTATGGCCCCCATAGACTCATGTGTGTGAATGCTTGGTCCATCCGGAGTGGCACTATTAGAACGTGTGTCACGGTGGGGGCAGTCTTTGAGGTCTTATATGCTTGAGCTACACCCAGTGTGGCACACTCTCTCCTCCTGCTGCCACCTGCAGATCCAGATGTAGAACTCTCAGCTCTTCTCCAGCCCCATGTCTACCTGCATGCTGCCATGCTTCCCACCATGACAATAATGGACCAAACCTCTGAAAGTGTAAGCCAGCCCCAATTAAATGTTCCCTTTTATAAGAATTGTTGTGGTCATGGTATATCTTCACAGCAATAAAACCCTAAGACAAGTGCCATCTACATACTTATTTGCAAAGGCATGGACGGTCCCCTGGAGGGTGATCTGAAGTCCCTCTTGCAGTCCTCCTTGGATTATTCCAGAAAATGGGATGGCCTGCAGAAGGGAAATGGAGAGATATCAGTTGGCTGGCACTTGCCTGGTATGGCAGTAACCAGTTAGGGCTGGTGGGCATGGCCTTCGAGGAGCTGGAACCCCAGCTGCCCAGATCGTAGGGTTCCTCAGAGAAGCAGGCCAAATCCAGCTAATTACAGCCATTCAGAGAATATCAGAAGTTTGGCAGGTTTCTGAGGCATGACTGGCAGCAGACCTCAAGTCACTTCCTTCCACAATCTGAAGGAAGTGACAGCTGTGTAACCTACTAGAAGGTTAACTGCATGCAAATGGCCTAGGTAATGAATTAGGTGGTGAGGGCTGCTGGCCCCAAACCAAGTTCCCCGAAAGACCTCAGGGTCCTGACTAGGGACTCAGGGACTCAGGAGGCCAGAAGACCAAAGGGACCTACTGTTCTGTTTTGAACAGCAAACCATTTCCTCCTAAGAGAGGGCTGAGAGGGTGGAAGCCCCTCCCCACCACCATGTAACCATGGCAGCCAACACAAAGGTTGGTGGAGGCAGCTTCGTCCCTGGAGCTCATGCTCCTGTTCATGCTTGCCCCAGAAGCCTTTGAGTCCCAGTGTTATCTTCCATCTCAGGCCCTGCCTGTACTCCATCCATCAGGTCTCTGCCTGATCGCCCTAAATGTCCTAAAGGAGCACTGGGTCCCACTGAGTGTCACACTGTTTTAGAGTCAGGAGGATTCCAGGTTTGACCCTTGTCACTGCTCAGTATCTGTGGGCCTTCCAAAGCTTAGTCTTTCTTTGCCTCAGTTTCTCCATTTGTAAACGGGGACAAACTACCTCCCCTGCTCACTTCTTCACAAGGCTGGTACCCTCTGCCCCCACCTGCTTTGCCTTGTGCTCTCATAGCCCAGTCCCCAAGCTGATGACTTACCAGCATCCAGAAGGCCTGGTAAACCAAGTGTGACTGCCACCTGCAGGGTCTGTCTGCTAGCTAATTCCCACATCGCTCCAAGGTTTTTAATGGCCTTTCTAACACCTCCTTTGAGTCAATGCCCTATAAAAATTAAATACTCTAGAAGCCAGGAAGGTGATGGAGTTGAGTAAAGTGTCCAACAAGGCAGGTTGCTAGGAGGAAGGGGCTAGGGACTGGGACAGAGTTGGCCTCAAACTGTTTACTTAGCAGGGAGGGCACTGTCCGCTCGGCTCTAATGAACAGTCGTCATCCATGCCCAGTGCTGGGAGACTGAAGCAGGCTAACATGAGACAGTTGCAGTACCCTGGGACCCTATAAGGTTTGGGGTTGAGCCCCATCCCTTTATAGCACTTCAAGTTCAGCCTAGACCCGCCCCTGCTTGCACTATGTACGTACAGCCCTCCCAAACAGTGCAGCTAGCAACCCCAGAAGCCTCTGAAGCCTGCATCGGGTTGGACTACTCCCACATCTGAACAATAATGTAAGTTTCCCAGGTAACCATCAAAATTAGACAGCTCCTATTCAAATGCATCCCCTGGGCATTTGGTAGGAAGAAGAGAAGGGGTTCATTCAGCCTGAACTGGTTTGGGGCACATGTGCAGTAAGGCAAAACAGTGAAAGGGAGAATCTCCCATTTACCAGCCTGTGCCTCTGCATGAGAGGAGGGGCATGCACGGCTGGACTAACGAATATACAAACCAAACGGTCCATCAGGGCAGAGAACTACTTCGAGCATGCCCCTTAGTAACCAGCTCCTTCTCTTGAACCCTGCAAAAGGGAGTCCTGGAGCTACAGCTGGCCCTTGTAGTGCATACCTGACCCGCTGTCTGGAATGGCTCCCGCTCTAGCCTGAAGCATTGCTTCAGATAAAGCTGTGTAGTTCCCTTTGCAAATCCTTGTGAACCCTGTGCTTTGAATTCTTTGGATAAAATGCCAAGGACCTGGAAACACCAACCATAGGTTGTGGAGCTGCCAAACTCTTCCAAGAACACAGAAGTCTGGGCAATGGGATGATTTTATGTTCTAATTCTGGGGTGCTGGGGACTCCTCACAAACGTCTAAGAATTTTCGTCAGGTGTGTTCCCGCACACCTATGATCTCAGCAATCGGAAAGTGAATGTAGGGGGATCTGGGTTCAAAATTAATTAATTAGTTGAAAATACAACCTGTATTGTAGAGATACATAAGAGAATATTTTCAGTGAAACATGACTGCCGTTGTTTTGAAATAACCTGAGATTGGGAAGGAAAGAAGGGAAGGTATAAGAGAGCAAGCAGGTCTTGGGATGGCCAGCTATTGTGACACTTCTTTGCAGCTCAAATTAAGATATTGCCCAACAGAAAACACCCACCCACCCACCAAATTCAAACCCCTGGCTATTGGACCACAAATGCTGAGCCAGTAGAGGGATCTTCTCTAGGATGCTAAACTTCTAGCATGTGTCAGTTCTCAAGGAACTACAGGGTCGGTTTCCTAGACACAGCTTTACGGTCTATTGAGAATCTCTAATAATCTGCTAGTGTAAGCTCAGCAACCCCTCCCCTCCCCTCTAAAGTCTATAGGTTTAAAGAACTTCCATTGTCCTGTGGCTTGCTGTCCATTATTCTGTGTTGGCTGTTGGAGCTCCATGTTCCCAGCTTCTCCTGCTATTAATAGCTGGTGTTACTAAGGAATTTGATTGTCAGAAATCTTGTCAGTTCTTGTCTATAGCTAACCAACACCCCAGCCAGGTTCTCCTTCCCTACCTAACTGTCTCTGCCTTCTGGCCTTCATCTTGAGTTGTCTGGCCACCCAGAACCTACGGAAGCCTGTGATGGCCCCCTAGATGCGGAGTCTCATTCAGACCAGTCCCACTGCCATCATTTCAGGGTGATGTCTTCTCACATCTCATGTTGGCTCTGTCACTGAGTGTTTCAGTAACCTGGAGCAAATCACAGCTTGCCTGAGTCTGGGCTTCTTTGTTCTCCCCCTCATCCCCACCTGCGGTGCCTGGGAGAACAGTCAGCCTGAGGGAATTGTACATTGGCATGGCAGGAAATGTTTTGTTGTTGTCTTGCTTCTATGATGCTACGGATTAAAGTGAAGGTCTCAAATTTGCTAGAGAAGCACACTTCCTGGTATCTCCAGCCTGACATGAGATGATTGTAAGGGGACGTACTCCTTCTGGGGGCTGGAGGAGTCTTATGAGCACAACCTGCTCTTCCAGAGGACCCAAATGCAGATCCCAGAATCCACATCAGGCAGCTCACAACCACTTCTAACTCCAGCATCAGAGGATCTGATGCCTTCCCCTGGCATCCTGGGGCACCTAACCCATGTGGCACCTGGGGCACCTAACCCTCACACCCCCACCCCCTCCACATGCACACAAATAAATCTCTTTAAAAAGAAAGGAAACTCCTCCCTCATCCTGAAATTTTCCTCAGAGCTTCTGCTGGCATCTGAAGACTTGATGCTTAACCAGTCAACACTCCTGGGAAGCCACAAAATGTGAAGATCAGAAAACAGGGGAGATGGTTACAGGCCATATTGCACAGAAAGACAGAGGCAGAGTGTGGTGATACATTATTTATGATTTAATAAAGCTTGCCTGAGGGTTCAGAATGCAAAGCCAGCTACAAGCCATAGAGGCCAAGCAGTGGTGGCACACACCTTTAATCCCAGGCCTCAGGAGACAGGCGGATGGATCTCTATGAGTTCAAGGCCACCCAGGGTTATATTAGACTCCCAGTCTAGAGCTGAAACAGCTCACATAAAGGAGACTGCAGCACTTTGGATCCCACACCTTTAATCCCAGATCTAGAGAGGTTTGTAAGATAGGAGTGGGGCATTCTGTATTCAGTCTCAGAGATTTACTCTCCAGCCACACTGAGGACAGGACTCCCTTTCAGCCTGAGGTAGAGGTAAGAGCTAGTGGCTGGCTGCCTTGATTTTCTGATCTTCAGCTTGAACCCCAATATCTACCACTGGGTTTTTATTATTTGTGCTACAGTAGAAGAAGAATGAACACAGTCATAGGGACAGGGCAGCACAGATTGCTCTCTGACGTATGAATTTTCCTTTAAAAACAAAAATAAAGCTTTGGGAGATTTCAGTGTCTTTGACTCTCCTGTAGCCCAGGCCAACTTAGTTGAGGCTGACCTTGGATGTCCGGCCTCAACCTCTGATGTATTGGGATAATTGATGTGTGCCACCATCCCCAGCTTAGATTCTAGTATCTTAAGTGGTGTCCCCAAATTCTGAAACATTATTTTAACACTAGTGGATCTTACAAGCAAGGTTGTTCATGTCTCAGCACAGATTGCAAAAGACTGGAAAGAACTTAAAAGTACCCTCAAAGGGAAGTGTCAAATAAATAATGCCGTTTGTAATCTGAGGCATCCAGTGTAGAAAGGCTGAAGGTGGGGGGCTCTGAGCAAGGATGCGGAGTGATAGCCTCTGCATTTATTCGTTCATTTTGTGTGGTTGTGGAAGTCAGAACCTGTAGGAGTCAGTTGTCTCCTTCTGCCATGTGGGTTCCAGGGACTGAACTCAGGTCACCAGGCTCAGTGGCAAGAGCTCTCAGCAACTGGGCCCAAGTGAAGTCATTTGTGTAGGAAGTGGGAAGGGCAGCTATATGTACTCAGTTACTAACTTGTAGATAATCTATCTCTGGTGAAATTCTCAGACTCAAATGGCAGGAGAAGCTGCAGGGAAGGGCTGAGTGGCACACCTCACTCACCTCTACCCTCAGAAATGACCCGGAACCTGGAAACATGTTGACTGAAGTGTCAGAAATGACTCTGCAGATGTGTTGAAGTCTCTGGAGATGGGGGAGGGGGGTGCTGAATTACCCAGGCAGGCCCTACATAATGACCACAATCCTCATAAGAGGGAGGTCAGGGGGTCGGGCTCTGAAATGGACTGCACAAAAGAAGAGGCCTGATCTGGTGATGTAGACCAGGGGATGAAGGAACTTACTACCAAGCCTGATGAGCTGAGTTTAGATCCTCAGAACCCTATGGTGGTTGGGAAAGACTGACTCCCCAACATTGCCCTCTGACCTCTGCCACATACACACATAATAAACAAACAAATGGTGATTTTTTTTTTTCCTAAAGTGTGGGTTGCTCCTGGGGCGGTGGGGGTGGAGGCATGTTTGTTGCTGGGCATTAAACCAAGGGTCTTGCACACAATGAGGAGGCAACCCTAAATCACAAACCCGGAACTTGAACTCTTAGTTTTTGAGACTTCTGTCCCCCCGAACAGTGATAGAACATAGTGTTGAGTTGAACCTGGGGATGCAGGTTACTGTGGAATTCAGAGCTTCAGTGAGTTGGTGAGGGATCTTAGCAGGAAATAATGGGACCTGCATTTAATCCCTACTGCTGCTGGAGAGGGGCCAGGTATTTTCCCTGCTGTTTTCTTTTTCTCAGGATTTATGATCTCATAGGTCTTGGCTCCCATCTCCCTGTGCTTGTCCTGACCCCAGGCAAGTCACTTATCTATGTATGCCCTAGTCCCTCCTGGGGTTAGTGGCGCCAACCACAGCCTGAGGCATTCCTGAGAAGATGAGACCAGATGCTAGGGACAGGAAGTCCTTGGTCCAGAGGGGCCCAGACGGGCTGAGCAGATGTTTGCCCTAAGAAGAATGTACCCTCCTCCCTGGGCAGGCCAGTCTTCCACTCTGAGACAGGGCCTTTTGCTTCAATTCCCTATTGGGATGTGCAGAAAGCAGAGCTCACTACAAGAGGGTGGACGGCTCAGTGGTCCACCCGGCACGCACACAGTCCAGCACCAGCAGTGGGAACACCAATTTGGTATGCTCTCAAACCAAAAGGCCCAGCTTTTCAGAAATTCAAAGACCCTGCCAATGGCTGCCATTACGCCAGTGTCACTGTCCTAAGCATCCCAGCAGCCTCAGTTTTAGTGTTTCTGTGGATAAGCAAATGGAAATGTGGAAACTTCTGTATCATGCCCAAAGCTGCACAGCTGGTTAACATCAAGCCTGGGATTTGAACACTAGAACTCTTGTTCTCGGCCATAGGTGACATAGGCTTCTGTCTGTGAGAAGCACATAGAGGTCTTTGGTCCCTGGCTCACCAGGATCACACAAGGAGGCCACCTCCATCTTCTTCTGGGCCCTCAGAGGAGTCTCAATAGACGTGAGAGTGAACAACCAAGACTGGCCCTCAGGCTATGACAGTGCTGTTCCTCTGCAAGCCATTAAGTCACAAGGCTTTCATAGCCACCAGCATTTCAGTAGACATGTGGGCCACAGCTGCAGAAGTCAGTGGGTCACTGAGTGAGAGGAACCAGGGGAATAGGGGACATGGGGACTGCACGTGGCCACCACCAGGACCTGCTCAGCCTCCTCCTTCTCTGCGGGAGGATTTCCCTCCATATTTGAAAATATTGCTTCCTCCTTCATCTTCTTTGTTTGGTGTTTTTTAAAAAAGGTTTCATTGTGTAGTGTGGCCCAGGCTAACCTTGAACCCGTTATGCAGTCCAGGCAGGCCAAAAGTGCGTGGAGACCCTCTTGCCTTAGCCTAGCAAGAGTTGAAAAGTCTGCCTTCTAAATCTACACACAGCACAGTTCCCGGGGTTTTGAAAATGTTAGCCCTGTCTGACGGGAAACTAGAGCTGGATACTTCTCTGTCCTTTCTGTCGTGTTCTGCTCTTGAAGGCCCCACAGAGGCACTGGACAGCCCTTCCAGCTACCTTCCAGTGGACAGTGTGGTGGGGACACTTCAGGAGCCCCAGGGAAAGGCCAGAGCTCATGCAGGACTAAGTCCTGGCAGCCAGCTTACCCACAGAAACCTGCTGTCTCCTGCCCTGCATACACACAGCAAGCACACCACAGAAAGCCCCTGGGAGCACCGTGCTGGGAGCACTCACTTCTGTTTTCACTGCCATCTCCCTAGGAGCACCCCCTAATTCACTGTCACTTACCATCTGGGGACATGTGGCAAGACCCCAACCTACCAAAGCCTCAGTTTCTCCACACACCTTGGGGCTGTCTAACTTCCTAGTGTGTAAACAAGGCTAGCTGCAGACAGCAAAGGCATGAACAGAAGGCAGCCCTCTGCACACCACACTGAAGGTCAGGCCCAACCGCCTTGCCCTTCCACACACATTCTGGAGGTGTTCTTGGGTAAGTTCTGACAAGACCCTCGGAGGACAGACATTTCTGTGAGACAGCTTCCCAGCTTCTCCCAGACTACTCCCAAAACACCTACCACATTCCCCGAGCTGTTTAACACCCACATGTACTATCTGCTTCCTCCTTACCTCAGCTTCAGGAGATTCCCATTTTACAGATGTGGTAATTGAGACCCAGGGAGGAAAAAGCACTAGGTATCGTGGAACAGGCATATATTAGTCTGCCACATGATCATGGTGAGTGGAACCCTGGGGTCCCCAGAGACACAGAGAGCCTAACACAGCACAAGAGCTGCATCAGTTAGAATAACTCTGCCTGGTATGTCTGCCCCCATGTGTTGCTTGCGGGGACACCTCATCACTACCCATGCCACTCAGTTGTCTCCTCAGAGTCCCAGAGCAACTTTCTCTGCACCCCGCAACTCACCGGGTTCATGTAGGGAGCTTGGGAGCTGAAGAAAGCCATCTCTCCTCTCTCGGGGAAACACCACTCTCTTCCTCACTCGCTGACAGACCTCTGCACTGGGCGGGGCTGGAGGAGGAAATAGAAACCAAAGCCACTAGGCACTTACTCAAGGGGGAGGAGCCAGGAGTCAGAGGCTGAAGGAAGTGTCTGGAAAAACGTAAAGATAATGTCAGGGAGAGGGGGAACTCCAGGAGGACACTTGGTGCTCGCCGCTCTGACGCTCTCCACCCCTTCCTCGGCTCTGCCAGAGTCACATCGGTTTCTGAAGCTTCAAAGTGATGTAACCAAGAGTTTCTCCGACAGCCTTGGCTAGGGGATGTGGCTCTGCTTCTGAGCCTTTCATCACTGCATCCCGAGCAGAGGGGAAAGTCCTGCTCAGCCCATTGTATGAGCAGGGAAAGTGATGCTCAGAAGGTCTTAAGGAGTGAACAAGGTTGCTCAACTCTTCACGGGCAGTCTAAAGTCCCTATGAAGATTTTGGCTTTCCAAGAAGTATTTCTCCCTTGTGTAAAAGCTTAACAACGTAGGAAGAAGTATTTTGCAAGAAAAAACATCACCACTGTGATTGTTAATGTGGAAAGTGGGGGTGCCCTGGGAACATCATTTCCATATGCCTGGGAGTTTATGCTTGTTCTCTTTTCTTTCTCCTGTCTCTCCTCCTTTCCTCTGTTTTGAGGTGAGAAGAGGAAAAGTAACTGATACAGTAGAATATCCCAAGTGACAAGAAGACCCAAGGAAATATTTGAAATAGTTTTCAAACTAGGCATGATAGCACATCATGCAATCCCAGTATGCCTTGCCAAATACATATATCCCTACTCCCTCCCGCCTTCCTCCTCTTCCTCTTCTTCCAACATTGTCACGTAGGCCAGGTTGGCTTTGAACTTAGTACATAACCAAGGATGACCTTGAACTTCTGGTCCTCCCGCCTCTACCTCCAAAGTGCTTGGAATATAGGTGTGAGCCATCTGCACCAATGGTGTTAGGGACCAGACCTGGGTTTTCCTACTCTAGGCAACCACTCCACCAACTGAACATCACCAGTCTTTCCCAGCCCCAAACAAAAAAACCTGTTTGTGGTTTAGGTTATGAATTAGGGGAAATAATTGGATGAAGCAAAGGACTCAGGACAGAGTTGTTAGGGGGAGGAGAGCCAGGACAACAGGCTTACCTGGAGTCATTCAGATCCCTGCCATTGCTACTAACTAGGAGGTTGACTAGAAGCAAGGTTGTGGTAAGCAGCTATGTCATTATTCCCAGAGAAGCATGGGCTGCAAACTTATTCCCACTGCATCAGTGTTGGGAAGTGCATACCTCCTTCCCTCCCCCATGGGAGCTGATATGGTTTGAGGATTGGTCCTCTTACATGAATTGATGTGACTTAGTAAGAGACTTGTGACTGTAGATTTGATCTTTTGTCTGTATTGCTGCCTTCTGCCTTCAACCATAGGACTATGCAGTTGGAAGGCCTTTATCAGATGGTATCTTAGTTTGTGCTTCCCAGCCTCCAGGATAGTGAAAAAGAAACATGACTTCCTTATGAACTAATTAGCCTGCAACATTCTGTTACAATGTCATGAAATGGCCCTCCAGGTACCAAAGGGGAACGGGTTATCTGCCAGGCTGTCACTTGCCTGTGACATTCTTGCTTCTTGTGCTCAGCTTAAATAAACCAAAATTTGCAAAGACTGATTGTTGGATATGCTTCCTTAAAGGCCATGGGTCTCCTTGTATCATTGCTCTAGTTGTAAGTTCCTCACTCAACAGGAACAGACTGTATTTAAAGAGCAGATTAACTAACCTGTTGGAGCAAAGTGGGAAGGAAATTCTTCACAATCCTTTGGCTATCATGGACACCAAGGATACTTTTGTTACGGCAGATACCTACCAACAGATAGGGATTTGGAGCAATTGGAACCCCTGTTCTCTGCAGCCGGGATGCCTCTTCAGAACCTGCTTCTTCTACACCCCAGATATTCCATGGCTGAGCATTTTCCCAAGGGAAAACCATGGATGCCTGTTCAGAATAGCTTTGTGCATCACAGCTCCAAATTGGGAGCAATGCACAGGGCATGAGAGAGACATCAGAGTATTCATGCATCTGAAAAGCCCTTAGCTCCATGGAGGAACTAGGGAATGGGGGATACATCCAGACAAGGCTGCACTGTGGCAGCTCTATGCACATCAAATTCAACAGGTTAGTCTTGGGGTTACTGCCTGGAAGAGGCAAGGCCTTCTGATGGCATTAAATGCTCCCGATTTTGGATTGCGAAGTGGTCCCTGCTAATTACACAAAATTCTTCTATTGAACCAGTGTCTATATGTTTCCCTCTAGGTATAATACCTCAATAAATCACAGCTAAAAGGACAAATCTCCTAGAGCCATGGAGGACACAGGCCCAGCTGAGCTCAGGAAAACAAGCCCCTAGGGTGGTGTTTGATGTGGAGGTGAGTCACAGTCAGCTACCTCACTAATGTGTCAGTCCCCAGAGGAGAGACCCAGGACCCTTTGCTCCATAGGGAGGGTCCACTGGCAACTCCACAGGCTAATGTATTTTATTTGGTTTTGCAAGATAGGGTTTCCTCTGTGTAACAGCTCTGGCTGTCCTGGAACTTGCTTTGTGGAACAGGTTGGCGACCTCAGGAGAGCCACCTCCTGAGTGCTGGGATTAAAGGCATGTGCCACCCCCTCCTGGCTAGGTGAATGTATGTTTAGAGTAATTATTGAAGCAGGGAAATGTATTCAAGGCACTGTGTATAACATACAAAAAGCTGCCTTTTATGAGCTGGTGAAATGACTCAGTGGGTAATGCACTTGCTGTGGATAGCATGATGACCTGAGTTTTATCCTCAGAGTGAAAGATGGAAGAGAAGTAGGCAGGTGGTGGTGGTGGTGGTGGTGGTGGTGGTGGTGGTGGTGGTGCACGCCTTTAATCCCAGCACTCAGGAAGCACGGACAAGCTGATCTCTATGAGTTCAGTTCCAGGCCAGTCTGGCTACATAGCCAAGAAACCCCACCCTGAAAAGAAAAAAAAAAAGGAAAGATGGAAGGGAAAACTGACACCCCCAAACTGCATTCTATTCAGCAAGATACACTATTTACAATATGTCATATGCATCTGTAAATAACATTTCCTGGGTTTTCTTTGTGTGTGTGTGTGTAGTATGTGTACATACCTGTATATGTCCACACATGTGTGCTTGTATGTGGAGGCCAGAGGTTCAGATAGCTCACAGAACCTGGAGCCCATTGGTCTCCAGGAATCTGTGCCCTCACACCCTCCCCACTGCCCCCCATCTCTTCCTCTCCAGTTCTAGGTGTACAAATGTGTGCTGACTTTTTACATAGGTGCTGGGATCCAAGCTCAGATTCTTACACTTGCATGGTGGCTGAGCCATCTCTCCAGCTACTCTTCTGATTTAAAAAGTGAACCAAATGAGATTGATTTTATTATTTTACTTATGTGTATACTGTGGCTGGGGGAGTAGAGCATGTATATGAACATTTGGTACCTGAGGCAAAGAGGGAAGTTGTTGGATTTCTGGGAGCTCGAGTTACAGGCAGTTGTGAGCTACCCCATGTGGGTGCTGGGAACTGAGCTCTGGTCCTTTGAAAGAGCAGCAAGTGCCCTTAACTGCTGGGCTATCTCTCTAGCTCCTGCTTTTCTGCTTTCTTGAGAGAGGGTCTCCCTGTGAAGGCCTAGATAGCCTGGAATTCATGATATAGACCAGGCTAAGCTTGAACTTCTGATAATTTTTTTCCCACTTTCCCTTACCAAGTGCTAGATTTACAGGTATGTATGTTGTGGGATATTTGTACACTGTGTGGAAATGTATTGCTATGATTGGTGTAATAAAAGGCCGAACGGCCAATAACTAGGCAGGAGGTATAGGTGGGATTTTCTGGGCGAGAAAGGAAGAGGGGAGGAATCAGGAAATGAGGAAGAGATGCCCAGAGACATGGAAAAAGGAGGTGCAAGATGGAAGACAGGTAACATCACATGATAGAATGTAGATTAGCCTAAGTGGGTTAATTTGAGTTATAAGAGCTAATTAGGAACAAGCTTAAGTTATAGGCTGAACTTTCATAATTAATAAGAAGTCTCAGCATCAGTATTTGGGGCTGGCAGCAAAAAAGAAAGTCTGTCTACACATGTATCACCATACCCAGCCTACATACAGCATCTTAAATTACCAACCAAGTGCATCTTGGGGCTTTGTTCACTTGGAAGTGCCAGATGATCAGAGAATCTACATCTAAGCAAGGTACGTTTTTGTGTGGTGGTCCTGAAACTGAGCACTGCGGAGCCTTGTGCAAGCTAGCTAGGTGAGAACTCTAACACTAAGGTATGTCCCCAGGCCCAGGAAGTCTACATCTAAAGTATCACTCTGCATTTTAGAGCATTTGGGGGCAGCAAAAAATTCAGCACTAAAATTCTGGGCTGCAGATTCAGTGCCCAGTACTACTGTTTGGCCTGGCCTCATCACACCATACGCCCTGGGAGTAGTGTACAATGCTTCTGTAAAATGACATCCTTCACAGCTTTGGGAATATGCATATGCTTGATGGCCTGACAGCTTCATGGGTGTCCCAAAGGGAACCTAAAGATGTAAATCTCTTTATTGCATAATTTTCTGGGTCAATCAAGGAGCGAAGCATTCTCATGGATGTCACCCAGGCCACTCACACACAGAAAGACAAGGAGCCTGCTTGTTTTTTGATAAACAAGAAAGTTTTTTCATTGCATTAAAAGCTGTCTTATAAAGGGAGGAAAAGTATAGATGGTTATTAAAGGCAATGGGATAGAAAGAGAGATTTTACATTATTGTTTACCGTGGTATTTTTAGGTTTTAAATTTCTATTTTGACATGTATAATTTACCTTGGACTTATAATAAGAATAATTTAAACATCATGAGGCCACCAGTCACCCAAGAAAGGAGTTAGAGTCCTGGGTCTCCCCTACCTGGTCTAGAAAAGGAACCTGAAGGGTCCAGAAATAGAAATATAGAAATAAAGGATTCATAAATAGGAATATAGAAA